TGGTCACTCTTGCTGCCTTATGGTTATTATTATTATGGCATATCTTTTTCTTTCCTTTTCTTTCAACTTATATGTGTATTTGAATCTAAAGTGTGACTCATAAACAGTGTAGAGTTTGTCCTTTTTTTTATCCAGTCTGACAATGTCTGCTTTTTGAATGAAGCATTTAATCCATTCATATTTAATATAATTATTGATATGGTTGGATTTATCTCTAGCATTCTGTAGTTTTGTATATGGTACATGCAATTATTTTTGTTCCTTTGTTTCTCCTTTACCACCTTTTTGGTTGACAGTGTTTTTTTTAATAGTGCATCTTTTTAATGTCCTTCCCTTTTTAAAAATTTTATTTCTTGAGTGAATTTTTTAGTTTTTCCAWTAGGAATTTAAAATGTGCATATTAACTCAGCATAAATACTTCAAATTAATGTTGTATATTTTCTAAGGCTGCTATAACAAAGTACCACACACTGAAAACATCAWATTTATTCCCTATTATGAGAGTACCACTGTTACTCCTGGCTGTAAGGTTTGACTGCACACCTCTCCAAGGGGAATAAGCCCACCGCCAGCAGCAAAGCTGTTGATTCTCACAGCTTGCCCTGCTCCGGTAGAAATACCATGCTGTCGGATCTGTGGGAGAAGAGGGTGTTGGGAGCAGCACCAGGCAAAAATGCCAGACTCCCACTATTCTTACCCAGAGCTCAGTGTTTCCTCACGAATACKTTCTACCAGTTTGTTGTATACTGTTGGTCAATTTTCAGAGCACTAACATTGTTGTTTTGACAAATTTTTAGTGTTGTCTTTACTTTGAGAAGAAAATTTATTGGGCTCCTCAGTCTGCCATGTCGAATACCAAACACCTATTTAACCTTTTTAATACAGATATAATTCTCATACCCCAAACTTCACTTACTTAAAGTATATAACTTGGCTGGGCACAGTGGCACACATCTGTAATCCCAGCTACTGGGAAGGTGAGGCAGGAGATTTGTGAGTTCAAGACCAGCCTGGGCAACTTAATGAGAACCTGTCTCAAAATAAAAAAGGGATGGGGATATAGCTCAGTGGTAAACATCCCTGAGTTCAATCCCAAGCCAAATCCACCCCCCACCCTCATCAAAAACAAACAAACAAAAAAACCCCATAGTGGTTGAAAGCAATTATTAATGTGGTTGGAGTAATATCTACCATATTTGTTACACTTCTATTTGTTGCCCTTGGACTTTGTCCCTATTTTTGTCTTCTACTCTTTTTCTGCCATTGGTGGACCTAACTGAGCATTTTATATGATTCTATTTTTCTCCTTTCTTAGCATATCAGTTATATTTCTATTTTTACTTTTATTTGGTGGTTGCCTTAGAGTTTATAATATGCATTTGTATTTAATCCCAATTTATCTTCACCTACTTTACAGGTAATGCAAGTACCTTATAGTAACAAAATATTCCTTATAGTAACAAAAAATTTCTTCCCCTTGTACCATTGCTGTCATTCATCATCTTTAATAACAGTTTCCTTTAGTTTTGTGGACATATTTATAATGGCTACTTTGCAGTCCTTGTCTGTTAAATCCAAATCTGCTTGCTCTTATAGGCAATTTCTATTATCTGATTTCTCACCTACATACAGGTCATACTTTTCTATTTCTTTGTATGTCTTGTAATATTTTTTGCTGGAATTTGATAATATGGTGTAGCAACTCTGTTTTTTTTTTCTTCTATTGCTAATAAACTGGGTTTGTTATTTCCCTTTTATTTTAAATGACCTGGGGGATTATTTCCATGACACCTACCTGCCCCMCAACCCCAACACGCACAGTTGCTCCCCAGGGACTGTGGCCTGACCCTTCCCACAGTCAACCTGGGATGTCAGATAGTTCAGGCAGGACTCACTTTATCTCCTTCCTGAACCATCCAGCTGTTCAGCTGCACTAATTGCTCCTGACTGCTCTACTGTTTTTCACATTGCCAAGGGGCATAACTTGCTTCTGAGACTAATACATTATCCAATTATCAGTTTTAGGCTCCTTTGAAAGGATAGTTACCAAGCTCAATCTTTGAGACTTGTACTGATCCACGGGGACTCATCTTGGCTGTCTTCTCTAGGTTCTCTACAGATCTCCCTAGCCTATAGTTCAGTCTGTATCTACAGTGAATCTACCAATCTCTCCCTAATTCTTGTTCACTACAACCTCCACTATTTGTGAAGTGACCTTAGGTTCAAACTTCTCTACACTCTATTGTAAATGAAGTCAGGTTCTTTAGGAAGAAATGTTCATGGCCTGCTGTTACCTCTGAGCCTTTGCTCTGGAGCTTGGGTGAGGACCAAGATCCCATTTCTCTCCGAGCAATGCCTCTGCCTAAGGGAGCTGAGTGCTCAGTGGGTGGGAAGTAACAGACTTAAGTCTCCTGGCTTGGCCTTTCCCAGGCACTACTTTATAAGCCTGTCTTTGCCCACCTCACTTTCTATGACCAACCCTTTCCCTCTATGTTTTCCACCCTCCCTTCTCTCACTTTCATGAGGTTTTTAATAAAAGCTTCCTACTCCCACTAGGGGCTCCAGCCTTCACAATGACTGTCATCCTGGACTCAGGCCATTCAGCCCAGAATCCTGCTTTCAGCAGACCAAGGAAGGGTATGCTATGAACAGGAAACTGGTTTCCTGGATTATAACCTGAGGGTTTGATACAACCCAGTTCTTCTTAGTTGTTTTTTTTTTTTCCTGGTCACAAGCAGCATTGATCAAATTGTCTTCAAATTCATTGAGGTTTCTTGATAATACCAATCTTAGGAAAGGAATTTCAGAAGTTTGCTATTGATGACATAAACTAGAATTTATTTTCCAATAACTTTACTATAAAGTTTCAAAATGTGTCCACTTATCATAATATTTAAGATCTGGTAAATAATTTGTTTTCCTTTTCTGTACCAAGCATGATATTAAAGCACTTGCTCACGTTTGTTTGCCTTCTGGTCTTCACTTCTTCAGGCTGAACTGTCTCAGGATGTTCAAACTGTTCTTATGGACAGTATCCTTTTCCTTCAAGTACCTTCCATCCTCCTCTGAGCATTTTCTATTCCTCTGTGTTGTGCTTGAAATCCAGTGCCTTAACTTCCCACAGTGGGCCAACGTGCTAAGAGGGTCTTACGATAGGTTTTTATTTTTTCCCCTTTGTACTATGTCCACCACATTTTGGGTCCAAAAGCATAGTGGCTGCCTGTTTAGTGGAAAAACTACATGTATTCCTTGTGGTAAACTGTTCCAAATTCTTTAGTTGTGTAATTCCTGGCTTACTTTATTTCTCTGTACACTCATACTAACTGATAAGATCACTCTGGGACGCACAGCCCCAGAAGTACGTGGCACACACCACGCACACACACCACTTCTGTCCTGTTCTCTCTCATTCAAGAGAATGCAGTAGAGTTGACATGGGTTGCTTTCTTTTCCTGTCAACTACATCCTGACTTCCCTATGGTGAACCCCCACTGGTCCTGTGCTTTTGTGAAGATGACTCAAGTTTCAGGAGTGGTGTGGCTCAGGTGAGGCCACTCACAGCATTCCACTCCCCGGGCACAATGAGCGAGTGGGAGATGGAAGCAGAATTCAAAACAGGCAATGAGATTCTGAGAAAGAGGTTGGAAGGCAGAGTCAGAGAATGAAACCAAATACTTTTGAGGGTCATCTTTGGCACCACTTGGGGAGACATTGCTAAGAATGAAGCCAAAACGTAGGAAAGCGAAACAGCAGTGATGCCAATGCTTGTGCACTTGGATATATTCTTTAACTTTATTTGGGAAGTACTTTTCATTCTCTATCCAGCTGGTTTGAGTTTGTGTTTTGTCATGGCCTCAGAAAGAATTGTAATGCATGTATCAAAACACAATGGTTAGAGAGTGATTTTTATTGTGGGGAGATAACCTTGACTCAGTTCCAATTTATTTAGAAAAAGACACTAAAAATTTTACATTTTATTATTTGTAGCATCCTGGGTCCCACAAAACTACAGTCTATKGGGCCACTGCCTGAATCTAATTTCAATGCTGCTGTATTTCTAGGGCCTGCCATGGTGCCCACGAATTTCCTTAATAAATGAATGGGAGTGTCATGGTATGGAGGTGGGGGGTGTATAATCTACATCAAAACCATATATTCACTTTTCCATATTATAAATGAAGATGAGACTAAATCAATCACAGATCTGAATAGCCCTGCACTTTTTCTTTCCAAAGGAGTGTATCTGCATTCTTATTCTTTGATCTCTGTTCCACACTTAGAATGTCGTCTACCTTTTGGAAAGTAAACCTTTGATACAAATCATGTGTTCAATCTTTCCAAAGTCCCACATGACACTACCAAATTCCCCTTGGCTATGTCTGTTTCTCAGAGAATCCAGGACAGTTAGGCATGACTCCCCCTGAAGGTCAGAGGCTGCCTCTCCTCTACTGTTTCTGTCTGCTCTTTGTTTAGGTGTTTGGCAATTCTCTTCATTACATATATATCACTATATTTATGGGGCTGGGGCTATTGCTCAGTTGGTAGAGTGCTTGTCTTGCATGCACAAGAGCCTAGGTTCAATCCCCAGCACACACACACAAAAAAATCACAGTGTTTTCCAGTATAGAAAGGAAACTTGCCATTTTTTTTTTAAAGATAGAGAGAAGAGAGAGAGTTTTTAATATTTATTTTTCAGTTTTCGGTGGACACAACATCTTTATTTTTATGTGGTGCTGAGGATGGAACCCAGCGCCCAGAGCATGCCAGGCAAGTGCGTTACCACTTGAGCCACATCCCCAGCCCAACTTGCCAACTTTTAAATCCCCAAGACTACTTAGAATATTCTCAGGAGGAAAAGTTATATTTACATTCACTACTCCCCCCCAATTTTTTTCTTTATTGTTTTAAAATGTGAAGCAGGATTATTTATAACACATTGACAAAACTCCTTTATATCCATATCTTTATTTGAACAATTTTCTATAATAGCTAGGAGAATACAGCATTAATGACACACATATACTAAGCACAACATTAGACAACTACATATTTAGAGCATAAATCTCATTCTGACATTGTTTTGGTTTTCATTTAGCTCTAGGTGAAATCTAGTGAAAACCCATGTTTCAAAGGCTTTTGTTGATATGAGATGAATTATTAAGTTATTCTAAAAAAGTTCATGTGAGATATGCTGAAATGGGTTTAGTTTAAAATTATAGTTGGTAATGACTTTCACCTCTTGGTACTTCTGCTTCCTTTTTAATGAATGAATATTTCATCTAAGAACTTTTCATTGATTAACTGTATTATGTTTTCCTATGCAGATCAAAGAATTACTTCTCCAGATCCACTAGGAAAAAATTTGAAAAACTTCATTTCATAGTAAATTAATAAATAAAATACAATATATTAGGTGTCTTGAGCTCATTTCTGTGCAACACTGTTAGAGCAATTTAAAATTTTCAAGAACATAAAATAGTCAATGATCCTCCAGGATCCCACAAAAATACATAGTTAGGAATCATAAATTACAATGTACACATTGACATTTAGAGAAAAAAAAATCACCATTTGTTAGAAAAAAATGGCTCATGTGACTTAGACAGGTTAAAATGTAGGCCAGCAACAAGACATCTGAAAATATTGACTGAAAAATGCACAAAAATGTCCTGACTTACCAGGCATTTAATTATATACACCAGTTTCAACTTCAATTTTTTTCTCTTTCAAATATCTCAAGCAATATTAAATACTAAGGAAATGTTAGTCATTTTCAGACATTTTATAATCTAGTAATACTCATTAAGTTAAGCTAATGAACATTTTTTAGCTAACCAAATTAAAAATTTAAAAATGTATAAAATGCATTTTTGAAGATATTTTACATAGTAATTTTCCATTCTTGATCTATTGAGAAATCCACTGCAAATCCAGGTTAATTTGTTTAACTTAAGGGTAATACAATGGATTAGAATTGATAGCACTACCTTCCTGTTTTTATTCAACCTTCTATATTTAAAGAATGTCCATTAAAATTTTTAAGAGTTGTACCTTTTACTTTTATTAAGAAAGGGTTAGTGGAAAAAGACATTCACAAATTACCAAGACTAACTATTTCTTCCGCATGATCATTGGCCTTCCTGTGACAGAGAATCTCACTGACTCAGGAACATTCTCTAAGCTGACATTTCACTGGCTCTGAGATTGTTGCTGCCCCACAGTTCTAATCCCTGTTGGGAAATGGTAGAAAGGAAAGGGAGGAGAAAGTAACAGGAGGCGGCAGGTCATGCAGGAAGGGGAGAAAGGAATTAGTGATTGGGGGTCACAACCAGTCAAAACCCTCACAAAACCTTGAGAAACAGGGCAAGGTATCCTCTCCAGGCAAGATATCCCTTGCAGAGGACAAGTTCTGGTGAACTTAAGGCAGCTCTAGAAGGGAAGGGAGCAAGGGTTAAGGCGGCCTCACAGCACGGCCGAGGAACACTTTACAATGCATTTATCCATGAACAGAGGCTACAGCAATCCAGGAGCCTAATGTGCATGCAATACAGCATAGCTCCTACCCCAAAGTGAACATCTGCAGCATGCACACACCAGTGTCAAGTACACATTGACTTGTATATGGCCTGCCTGGGGGACAGCCTTCAGACTGTCCTGGGCAATTCTGTGCAGAGGTCCTGACTTAGGGACGGTGGCCTGTGGCTACAGGTTTCTGCAAGTGGCACAGCTCACCTGGTGGCTCTAACAGAGACTCTGAGAGGCATGTGGAGAGTGACCTGCCTCTCTCCATTGGAGGCTTTCACTGCTTCCTGTCATTTTGGTTCAGACAGCCCACTACTAACTAATGCCTACACTCAGAGTACTGTATCCTTTCAGGGAGCAGTGGGTCATGGCAAAAGTCCAACCTAGTTATAGAAGGTAACTATACCCCCACAACAAACAAACAAACAAACACTCCTGGCACTGGGTGCTTGGTCTCATTAGAACAAATAATCTGGCACTTATTGCTTGTTCATCCCCATATGCCCAATTGCTAACTCTGATAAAGAAAGAGTACCTCTTGTTGGCACAGGGCCCACCCCACAGCACCAGGAGGGACAGGACAGAACCTCATGACTTTAAAGTTTCTTGTCCTGCATCTGCCATACACCACTCCTCTGTATGAGCCAGAACTGCTGGARGGCAGTGTGACCCCAAGCAAAGCATGCTATCTCAAGCTATCACCAGCAAAGGACTGTAGGAGCTGCTCTATCTCCTGATCGCGTTGCTGTGAGGAAGAATGAGGTAACACAGAGGAAAAGCATGGGCGTAAAGCACACCCAGACAGGTACTGTTTCGGCACTGCTTTTGCCAGGACCATGTAGCGTCACATGCTATGTTTGCTTTCTGTTTACTCCTAAGCAGTCAACTTAGATCCTTGGCTATGCCACTTGAGGAACTCTGTGAACTGTGACTCAGGACATACGTGCATGTGTGTGTGGGGGGGGGGAGGGGAGACAGAAAAACAGGAGGGAGAGAGAAATCATATGAGGACTTCTTGTGATGGTGACAGGTCCTATTTTCCTGGGGTTACCAGGGAGTTAATTTCTCACAATAATCACTACACTGAAATTCAAATGAAGTATTTTCATAGCTTTTTCCACTACATTTTAAGGACTTGATTTATATTACATAATTATGAAAAAAGAGCCAACTCTCAACTATCCATTGAAATGAAAGATAATAAAACAAATCATCCAAACTGAAACTGATCCCCAATCTTCCAGTGGTTGGGTCTGGGATACACTTTTTGTACTTTTGTGCCTGAGGAAAGCAGTGTCAGATATGTGGGGAATTTTTAAAACCTCTAAAAGAACCATGATGTTATACTTGGTGGATTTTATGCCATATTCATCTTTCCTCCTCTAAGGCAGATGGAATCCTTAACCTAAGAAAAACCACAGGAAGGGAACTGCTTCTACTTTTTTCTTTGCATTACAAGGATGTGAGTTGAGCTTGGACCTAATGGGAGAGGGGTGATGACTACTGGAAAGAGGAGATTGTTGTGGCTTCCAAGGTCTCTTCCTTTGCATTCCTACTGTGTCACAGAGGAACTACGAAAAGAATGTATGGCAGAGAAGTGAGAACAACAAAATCTGTGCAAAGGTTGATGCAAAGAGAAGTCACAAGGAAGATCAAGTAGGGCAAATGGAAACAGACTCCACATGTCTACCTTCAGTGCACAGGCAGCCTGCTAGTCAGCAGTTGATGGGATGTATGACTAAGCAAAGGGAAGGGAAGAGTAAAGAGGACAGACAAAAAGCTGGGTGTGTATATATGAAGGTGAATGAAAAGGTGTGGGAAGAGGGAGAGTGAGCAGTTCTCAAACTGGCTAATGGGTACCCATGGTCAGCAGAATCTTGGTGCATCCTCAACAAAGTAGTGCAGAGACTCATTTCTAGCTCTTGAGGTTCCCTGGTTGTAAGATATTCTTGTTATACTAAAAATCTTCAGGCTATCAAGAAAAGTTAATCCTGATCCCTATTTGGGGTTCTGGGGAGGCCTTGGAGAGAATGAAAGCCCTGGAATAGAAGAAACTTTGTGCCACCATCACTGGAATAGGAGAAACTACATGGGATGGCRGTGGAAGCTCTGGTCTAATGTGGAACAGTGGCCACAGCACTTGACGGCAAAAAGCCAGAGGACAGGAGGGAAAGTCTCAGACCACAGATGCTTTAGGACATGAAATGCCAGGAGTAAGGAAAAAGGCAGCAATGAAAGTGGGAGCTACCATGTGATCTTGAATACAGGATAAAGTGTGGTGTACATGGGTCATGCCACATAGGATCAAGCTGGGAGAGGACCAGGGAGGACTGCCAGGGCTAAGGTGGACAGCCTGCACCATGATTGTACTTTCTTGGCAACTCCCCTGCCCATGTCACACCTGTGCTGTTAGACTCTGACACATTTAACACTAGCTAAATGGCTAGAAGAGTTAATTGTTTATTGAAACCACATTGACAATCAGGAAAACAGAATATGATTAGATTAGAATTGGGAGGTTCATGTTGAAAATAAATATTTTAAAACTGAATAAAGCAGTACATGATGTAATGAAATTTAAATTACTTTCAAATAAAACAATATAATAGGGCTTTCTAAAAGCATGGGCCTTTTGAAATGCACATGTGCATAAATCATGTACATTTAAGAAAGGTTACAGCTACATAAACTTGTGAGTTTGCATTTTATTAATCCTAAGGAAATGACAGGCACTACACACTGGACTTTCCAAGAGAGGATGGACTAAATTGTAGCTTTTTTTCTCTAGGATCTAAGTGCTGAAAGGAGAGAATTTTAGATATGGAAGAGATCTTAAGAATCAGCTGTCCAACCCTTCTATTTTATAAACAAGGAAATTGAGGCTCAAATAAGTTAATAGATGATATCTTTTAATACAATCTTTATCACTGATTTGAAACTGTTTGACTTCCATAAATAATATTGCACATATTTTTAATAAGATATGTCATTTTTATAGACCATCTAACAGTTAAATTACATAARTCTATGATTATAATTATAATTAAGAACCAGAATTTCTGATGAAAGCTAGTAATTTACTTTTGTACAACCTGAAGGATTTATTTTACTAATATTTCTAGAAAAAATGGAGAATTGTTTAATTAGAATTTCAGATTGAAAACCTATAGAATTTGAGTCTTACTGAACCAAATTCTCTATAAAATTCCACAATCTTCATATATTTTTTATATAAGTCTTCTTAAGGTATTTCTAATATGATGCTTTTTAAAGTATCTAGTGGTATCTGAGAACATTTATAGAAGTTGCAAAGTCTAAAAACCCTGAATCATAATATTTATTATATACCTTCTTTTGCATAATTTATAGGCTAATCAAAGTTTCAAGACCTGAATCATGAAAATTCTGACAATCCTTTCTACATAGTGATTGAGATTGATTCTTAGTGAATTAAGAAGAAAGAAAACCTGTCAAAGTTGAAAATATATACTACAGGAATCAGATCTGGGAACTAAAATAAAGTCACTTCACAAAACACTGTACCCTGATGTAATATCCACCCAGAGAAAATTAATGAGCATGTCAATGTAATACATCCTGAATAAACAGTGACATCAACAATAGACAATTTATCTATCCCTACCCCTAAATGTCAAGCATTTTGTCATATTACATGATTTTCCAGTGTCTGCTACTTGTGCAGGTGAATCTGTAGATATTTGCATATAATCCAGTTAAAACTGATCTGATTGAATTGTAAACAGAGTTGATAAAATAGAAGCTTATTGTTGTAGTGCCTAATAAGAGTATCATCTACATTTTAAGGAGACATTATGTAGCAGCAATTTAAAATGCTCAGTAAGCTACAGTACAGATGAACATCTATGTTATATAGCAAACCAACATTCTTTTAATAGCTCTATATCATAGTGACACAAATAAGGAATTTACTTGACCAACTACTTTACATATTGCCAGTTTATTAGATCCAGTTTGATAATATCAACATAACTGATTCCTAAACTGATATGTATTCAATGGTGATTTTTCTTTCAATTCTGTTTAGCACAGAGATCATTCTTTGTTGTTGTCTTCCTAACAACAGCCTATGCATATGGAATTTATGTTTTCTATACCACTAAATGCAGTGCTAAGGATTTAAAATAAATGTTGACACATTTGCCTTCCTTTCTTTTCTTTTTCCCTTCCATCATCCAGTGGCATGTAAACTCAGGATACCAGCTGAGCAGGAATGAGTGTTGCTTTAAAGGTAACATGGCACAAAGGAGCCTATCTTTCTTCCAAGATGATGAAAGCCTCTAGGGAGATTTCCAGTTAATATCTTCTTGTTTGAGAGATAATCAGTACTTTCTCTTTAAAAATGTATTTTTTTCAGTAGCTTACTGGAAATAATGGTTCTTATCCAGACAAGGAGTATACTGTCATTGTTTGCCTGGACATCACTTTCAGACCCGTGAAATGAATCCCAGGCCCAGGCTAGCTGGAATCTGGATGGTTTCTAGTGCGAGGGAGGATGGGTTAAAAGGAAAGGTGACAGGAAAGATGTGTTTAGCATCCATGAGCAGCTGAGGCGAGTCTTTCCTATCTCGTAAACGCATCTGAGAAGATTAAGAAAAAAAGATGAACAGGGCATCAGAATCTGTAAGATAGTTTTTTTCTGCCAAAATTTCTACCCCCAAAATCCTCAATTAGTGAAGAATGTTTGTTTTAAAATCACTTCATTGACTCAATAAACTGTTATCAAAATAGTTAAAAAGTTATTTTAAAATAAGATAATATAATAAAAGATAAAAACATATTAACCTTCAATAACACTTAGAAGCTTATGTTGGTGAGCTAAAGAAAAAGAAAACTGGGGGCTCTTACCTGTATAGTACGAATAAATGAGACGGAGACTCTTTCTTCGAACTCATTAACTGGAGTATACAAATTCAACACTTTGACAATCTATGAGAAATGAAAAGATCAAAGTTTTTGGCATATTATTAAATATACACTTGATATTCATAATCTAGAAAACTTAAAGTTTCTGTGTGTAGTTTTCAACTCGGGAGTGAGTTATGATAAGAGGGAAGAAGGAAGGCACATTTACTTTTGTTATTTGAATTTCTATCAGAATTATTAATGTAATATTTGTATAGTATTTTAAGAAGCAATATAAATTTAGAAAACTATTCAAAAACTATAATGCAAAAAAATAAAAGTGTTCTTATTCCTATCCTTCCAGTCTCCCAAAGTAGCAGCTATTAACCATGTCCTGAGCAATGTTATATATATATATTCTGGAAAATGCTATTTTTTATGCAAATTGGTTTGTCTTATTAATAATATTCTACAATTTGCTCTCTTCACATAAAAATATATATCTGGCCACATTAAAAATAACATAATTAAATATTATTTCTTTTAAATGATATTTTTGTTTCTTTGCTTTTAGGTATGGGGTATTAAACACTGGGGGGCTTAACCACTGAGCCACATCCCCAGTCCTGTTTTAATATTTTTTTTAGAGACAAGGTCTCACTGAATTCTTCAGGACCTTGCCAAATGTTACTGAGGCTGGCTTTGAACTCGTGATCCTCTTGCCTCAGCCCCCCAAGCCACTGGAATTATAGGCATGCACTAYGGCACCTGGTTTGAATTGTGTTTTTAAAAACATGAATAACAACAAAGTCCTCTAAAGAAATTAGCCAATTAATTAAAGGGTATGAAGGTCTTTAAAAAATGTCAAATTAATTCCTTTTATAAAATGAACATATCTCTTTTTTAACAAAAGCAAATCACTGGGGTTGGGTTGAAGCTCAGTGGTAGAGTGCTCGCTTGCATGTACAAGGCCATGGATTTGATCCCCAGTACACCCCACCCCTATACACAAATAACTGCCATATAAAATAGAAAGATATTTTCATTTTCAAGGTATTTTTTTAAAGCTTTGCCATGAGTGGTCACTAGGCACATGTGGCTATTTAAATTTAAATTCATTAAACTGAAAATAACAAATTCCAGACCGTGCTGATCTATAGGTAAAGAAAACATAAAGCACCAGAGAGATGTGACTGAGAAAGCAGACATGTTTATCAGGTTGTAGGTGACAAAATGAATCAGGAATCAACCCCTAAGAGGCAACTCTTAGAACTTTAAGAAGTAGGATCACTTTGTTAAATAAAATTTGTTAAGTTTTAATGAATCATAGGTCTACCTTACTCTGTGAAATATGTGCTTAAGACATATTTAAGTTTTAGAGTACATTCTTTAAAAGTTGGATGACATCAAACTTCTATGAAGTCAGGCTTTCCTCATTGCACTTTTACTTTCCAAATGTGGCAGAAAGGGGGAGCGAATCTCAAGACCATTATTCAGTGTTGTGGTTCCTCTTTATTCTTAGCAAGAATTTTTGTAAATATGAATTCCACATTAGGAAGCTACAAATCTTGATTCCAACTATCTACTAATTGAGTTTAATTATATTGGCTGCAACTGAAGATGTCTATGCCATAAGATATGTGATGAACATCAGGAAAGTTTGAGTCAGCACAGAAAATAAGCAGGCAAAAGAAAAATGGGTATGTTCATGCTGATGCCTAAAGGCCTCATGTTTTTGCCATTGTCCTCAAATATCCTTCCCATGCTCCCACTTCCTTCAATGTAGTGCCCAGCTTAAAAGGACCTCCCTGAAGTCAGCTATTGTCCCTCAGCACTTACTACAGACTTTACTATAGAATTTGCTAGAAACCCTAATTTGCTAGAGTCAGCTTGTTGCCTCTGTGTCTTCCTTCCTAAACTGTAAACTCCCTGAAGGCAGAAAATTTTCATTATTTATTGAAGTATTTTCTCCAATACTAAGTATGATGCCTTGAGATGGGAGGCTCACTTAGTCATTTCTATAACTGAAGGAGTAAGAATTATCTGTCTTAAAAAGGAGAAACCTAAAGAATCAATTATTAATAGTGATGAAACCAATTTTGTGGAATATAAGAGAATGATATTCCATGACAGCAGGGACTTTGTTTTGTTCCTGGTTATAGGGTCTGGAACATGTGCAAAACACTGAAGGCACTCAATATTTGCTGACTTTTGACTATAGATGCCTGTAATTAGCACTGAAATGTATAAATTTCTGAAAAAATCTCCTTTCTTCAAGATCTGTAGAGATACATCTTCTCTATCACAGATGAGGTCAGTGCAGAGACAAGCGCAATGACAGAAGATTTCTTTATTCTCCAAAGGTCACCTGTGATGACTGATATTATTTCATGACAAGGAAACYTGCTTTACCTGGGCAGTAGTTAAAGCATTGCACATGGAACAAATGGCTTCTGCATCATCATCTGTTTTCTTTTTTACTTGCAAAAGCTGAGCAGCTTGAATGAGTGGTTCCAGGGTTTCTTTTGCCCCACTGTTCATCAGATTCTTGTCACGTAGCCATTCTTCTAGTTGACTGACATTGTACCTATGCCAAAAAAGGAGAGGATGAAAGATAAAATGCAAATTTGCTGAATGCTGTCATAAGTGTCTTAATTTTTTGTGTGTGGCCTTGTCAGTTAAAATGACAGGCAGTATTTTTGTTCAATTTTCTAAAATCTAATCAGCTATGCTTAAAAGTTTATCATTATAGTCATGAGATTTATAATCATAATTATGTAAGATAAAATGACAAGAGAATAAAATTCTCTTTAATGGAACATGGAAATGAAGTCATTATAGCAAWAGTTATAGAACTTGCTAATAAACAAAACAGAATACATATTATAGCTCTATCCTTATTAGACAACTGCCCAGAAAGCACTTTCTAGCTTCCCTCACAAGTTCAGAGATGAGTTCCTTGTACAGAGTGAGACTTGATAATCCTTGATGTACTCTCTTTCTTAAAGGTCRACTCCAAATTGGGTAACTGAATAACCAGATCCCCTCTCCCCTGATATATGCCTATGCTCAAGTGTCTTCAGGGAAGGTTTTGGGCAATGGGGATGGTGTCCTGAGGAAGCCTAGGGATGGAAAAACAGAAGGCCAAGGGAGAGTACTTGGAAGGGACAAAGACTCATATTGGGAAGAGACGAACAGATCACATAGATGCTAAGGTTTCCGGAGGTGGCCAGATAAGTGACAGTGGATCTCACACTAAGATTAAAATAAACAAAAATACACAGTCATAACATAGTAACCAGACAAACAGGAGGCATTCTGATATTACAGTGAGTGACTTCACATTTGTAAGCAAAGCTTATAGAGAAAGAAGGTCCACTACTCCCCGAACAGAAGGCATTATCTTAATATAAATTCTGAGTAGATGTGAGCCAGTGGAAAACTGAAAACAAACACTGAAGTTTCTTGAGAAAGAGTTACTAAATATTTTTGAAAGAAAAATTCTTTTTCTTCCTCTCAGTGAATATTTTGGCCATTTAAAAATAAATATTTGCAAAAAATATCAGGTCTATTACAATAAAGAGCATATGCTGAAGAGTAGTTGGGTATAAAATTGAGTATACCTTTTATTAAAATATGGGGGGTATATTTCAAGTGTTAGTAAAAGATCTATTACGTCTGTTTTTGTTGCCTTAGGTACAAAGGGTATTTTTCCAAAATATATTTCCAAGAGCATTAGAAATCTTCACTATAGTGTTTTCTTATTGCACAATTAAAACACACACAAAAGGAGAGGAAGCAGCTACCTCATCTTTGTGTATTTTTTCATCATCTCTCTATGTCTTCAAACAAGTTAGCTTCACAGTGGAGCAAGGTGTTTCCCATCAAGCAATGAGAAGAATGTGCTGGCAAGGCACTGACAAGGAGCAGTAACTGCCAGGCAAGAGAAAGTCCCTAGCTGCTTGGCTACGTGGCAACCAAATCAGATGCATGAACTGGAAACAAGTCATCAGTGTCCCCCACCCTGTCAGGTCAGTTGGGCAGCAAAAAGAAGCTGTCATAGGTGCTGCCACTTGCTCACCTGATCTGCATGCCTTTACTCCAGGAGCACATGTCCTTACGCAGGAGGAGGTTGTTCAGGGTGATGGCCCCCACAATGTAAAACATCTGCTTGACCACCTGCTTGATCAGTTCTGGGTCCATGCCGTGCTGACACATGACTGAGTGGAATGAGTTGAGCTGTCGGAGGATGGAGTCCAGTGTGTAGGTGCCTTCATCCGCAATACTGGAGGTTCGCTTTCTTAGCCCCGTGGGCTTCACCCCGGACACACCCTGAATTGTTTCATGCTCCAGCATGCCTGAGACTGTAGGAGTATTTCAATTATTAGAAGTTCTGAAAGGCAACGTGTTTCATGTGCACAAATATGTTATGTGCACATGCACTTACACATTCAATTTGGGAAAATTATCTGACAATCCAAATAGAGAGAAAAGGAAGCCAAGCATAGTTGCGTACCCCTATAATCCTAGCTAACTGGGAGACTGAGGCAAAAGTATCACAATTTGAGACCTGCCTCAGCAACACAGCAAGACACTGTCAAAAAAAAAAAAAAAAAAAAGAGGGGGGTGTGGAAAGAAAAAAAGGGTTTATAACTCAGTGGTAAAGCACTTGCCAAGCATGTTTGAGGTCCTGGGTTGAATGATTCCAGTACTGCAAAAATTAAAATTATGTTAAAAAAAAGAGAGAAAAGGGACTTCAAGGAAAGGGCTTCTGGATTTTAAATTTTAATGAAGGAATAATTCTTAAATGCAAATTTACCATAAAAGTAAATACTCTTGGGGCTGGGTTATGACTCAGTGGTATAGCACTTGTCTAGCATGTGAGGCCCTGGGTTCAATCCTCAGCACCACATATAAATAAATAAATAATAAAAAGGTCCATTCACAACTAAAACATATTTAAAAAAAATAAGGGGATCCAAGATGGAAGACTAGAGGGAGGCTGCATTCTGTGTCACTATGGGATCTGGGATTCAAGTAGTGGGAATACTATTTCTCTGTGAGTGTTTACAGGACCCCTGACAGATGTTCCTATGCAGGAATCATGGCCGCGGTGCCTGCACATGTCCCCAGGCCTCAGCACAGGACTCCTGGCCACTCGTCCACGCCTGACCTCCCAGTGCCTGAGTAGGATCACAGGCATTAGTACCCGTGCAGGACTCCTGGCCACGCACCTAAGCAGGAATCTCAGACACAACTCCCATGCAGGACACCCTGTCAAGCCCACGTGCAGGAACTCAGCTGCCCCTCCCATATGGACCCCCATCTACCAACATGGGGCTCCCCAGTTGCCTCCATCTTGGGGCACTGCAACAACTGCCATAGTCCCCTATATGTGGTAGCCTGCACCTGGGGACTCCCTACTGGGTCCAGAGACAGCCGCCAGCCATGATACTGCATGCCACAGAGCTGCATCTCTTAACACCACCACTGGGCCTCACCCGACCTGAGAGCCCATCCCTGAAAGCCTCCATCTTCAGATACCTTTGTTGCCATCTTTATTTGGGACAACTCCCAGCTTGGAACACTGGCTGGGGCTTAGAAGCAATATCAAGGTACCGAAAGTCCCCAACTCCTGCCCTCTCCCCAGCAGCCCCTAACCTGGCACAGTGCTTGTGGCTATGCGACTGGTCCATAGCTCACAAAACTGGGTCCTGAACTGCCCAATACAAAACATCTCTCCAAGACAGGTGCACAGCCCCCAGAACGCAGCCTACAAGACCTCCAGAGAGAAAGGTTCCCCACTGGGATGCAGAAAGGGAGTGGGCGAGCAAGATACAGTTTAGAGACTAAATTAGAGATCAGGAATTGCAAGGCCTACAGGCGATTTAAGAGATAAAACCAGGTGCCCACATCACATGTTGGAGATCCATGGGGTGCAGTCTCCCATCAGGGACCAGCAATTGCTATACCCCACCTCTAGGAGCTATGCCCCAAGACCAATGCTTCCACCCAATAACCTTCACCATCCTGAGGGTGGACATACCAGCAAACAGACAACCCCACCTATTGGATGAGAAGAGAAGCAGAAAAGATACTGAGCTCCAACAAAAACAATCCTTGCATCTTCCTTTGATATATATTTTTTTCTTTCATTCTCTCTTTTCCTGCCCTCACATCACCAACATTTGTGAAAACAAATACTTTTCATGAATTAGGCCAATGAGGACTGGGATGTCTGAATAGTATATTACAATGGTGTTGTATATTATTTGTCTCCAATTTTTTCATTTTTAATTTTTCTTAATATTTATGTTTGTTTGTTTTGTACTCTACTGTCTTTCCACTTACTTGTCTCCCCTAAATCACTTTCTCTCTCTTCTCCTGATATTAATCAACTTCTTTAGATTCCTCTTTCACACTTTGTAATATCTAATAACTCTTATTTCTTCACTTCCTACTCCCTCAACATCTCATCCTATACCTTACTCCAGGTTCTTTGTCCACCACCAGAAACTGTAGACCCTTTTGCAAATCTTCTGTTTATATGTAGACAATAATTGAACTTACTACTTCTTTATAATGTGACAAAACTGTAAACATCTTTATAGCAGCTATTTGGTTTAAGGTTGTATATTGTTTGTATTGGGATCTGTTCACATTGTTCTCCCCCTTAAAGGAGAGGTTTTGGAACCCTACAGGGGCACTATAAACTTATAGGGTAAAAACTATAACACCCAGGATCCGCTGTGCTAGAAGGGAAAACACATGAACAAAATGAAAAACCAAGGGGAGAAAGTGCCCAAAACAAACGAAGATATTACATAYTAGAATCCATGGCCAGCACAGTAGAARAAGCGACAGAGAAGGAGTTCATGATGTACATAATTAAAATGTTCTGTGAAATAAAGGATGATATAAGAGAGCAAATAAAGGCAGCAAAAGATCATTTCCATAAAGAGCTACATAAGCAAATACAGGAAGCAAAAGATTACTTCAATAAAGAGATAGAAGTTCTGAAAAAAACAACTCAGAAACTTTGAAATGAAAGAAACAATAAACCAAAYTAAAGGCTCAACAGAAATCATCACCAACAGATTAGTCTACTTGGAAGACAAGACTTCAGACAATAAAGATAAAATATATAATATTGAAAAGAATGTTGATCACACAGTGAAGATGATAAGAAACCATGAGCAGAACATTCAAGAATTACAGGATAACATAAAAAGACCAAATTTAAGAATTATTGGGATAGAGGAAGACATATAGTTATAAGCCAAAGGAATGAACAATCTATTCCATGAAATAATATCAGAAAATTTTCCAAACATGAAGAATGAATTGGAAAATCAAATACAAGAGGCTTACAGGATACCAAATGTACAAAATCACAATAGATCCACACCAGGCACATTATAATGAAAATGCCTAACATACAGAATAAGGAGAGAATTTTATTATATATATATATATATTTTATTTTTTTAGTTGTAGTTGGACACAATACCTTTATTTTATTTATTTTTATGCGGTGCTGAGGATCGATCCCAGGGCCTCACAAGTGCTAGGCAAGTGCTCGACCACAGAGCCACAACCTCAGTCCAAGGAGAGAATTTTAAAAGTCACAAGAGAGGGGCTGGGGATGTGGCTCAAGCGGTAGCGCGCTCACCTGGCATGCGTGCGGCCCGGGTTTGATCCTCAGCACCACATACAAAGAAAGATGTTGTGTCCGCCGAAAACTAAAAAAAAATAAATATAAAAAAAAATAAATAAAAGTCACAAGAGAAAGGAATCAGATTACATATGGGAGAAACCAATTAGGATATCTGCAGATTTTTCAAGCCAGACTCTGAAAGCTAGAAGATCCTGGAACAACATACACCAAGCTCTCAAAGAAAATGGATGCCAACCAAGAATCGTATATCTAGCAAAATTAAGCTTCAGATTTGATAGTGAACTAAAAACCTTCCATGAGAAACAAAAGTTAACAAGTTGAAAGCCTGCACTACAGAACATCCTTAGCAAAATATTCCATGAAGAGGAAATGAAAAACAATAATGAAAATCAGCAAAGGGAGGTATTACTCTAAAGGAAATACCAATCAAAGGAGACACCAAGTCAAAGTAAATACCAAAAATAAACAAATATGACCCGTAATACAAATCATGTCTCAATAATAACCCCTTAGTGTTCATGGCCAAACTCACCAATCAAAAGATACCTACTGGCAGATTGGATTTATAAAACAAAAAACAAAATGTTGTCTTCAAGAGACTCATCACATAGGAAAAGACATACACAGACTGAAGGTGAAAGGTTGGGAAAAATCATACCATTTACATGGACTATGGAAACAAGTGGGGATTTCCACCCTCATATCAAATAAAGTAGATTTCAAGCCAAAGTTAGTCAAAAAGGATAAACAGGGCACTTCTTTACTGCTTAAGGGAACCATACATCAATAAGATATAAATAACTATTATAAATATATAAGCCCCAAACAATGGAGGATCTAAGTTCATCAAACAAATTCTTCTCAAGTTCAAGAGTCAAACCACAATACAATAATTCTGGGTGACTTTAACACACCTCTTTCACCACTGGATAGATCTTCCAAACAAAAGTTAAACAAAGAAACTATAGAACTCAGTAATACAATCAATAATTTAGACCTTATAGACATATATAGAATATTTCATCCATCAACAAGTGAATATACTTTCTTCTCAGCAGCACATGGATCCTTCTCTAAACAAACCATATATTAAGCCACAAAGCAACTCTTAACATATAAAAAATATAGATACTACCATGAATCCTATCAGATCATAATGGAATGAAATTATAAATCAATGATAAAATAAAAAATAGAAGCTACTCCAATACCTGGACACTAACTAATAAGCTATTGAATGAATAATGGGTTGCAAAAGACATCAAAGAGRAGATTAAAAAATTGTTAGAGGTAAATGAGAACACTGATACAACATATGAAATCTCTGGAACATTATGAAGGTAGTAGTAAGAGGAAAGTTCATTGTATGGAGTTCATTTCTTAAAAGAAGAAAAAGTCAACAAATAAATGACCTAATATTACATTTCAAAGCCCTAGAAAAAGAAAAACAAATCAACACCAAAAGCAATAGAAGACAGGAAATAATTAAAATCAGAGCTGTAATCAATGAAATTGAAACAAAAGAAACAATTGAAAAAATTGACAAAATTAAAAGTTGGTTCTTTGAAAAAATGAACAAAAAGTTGGTTCTTTGAAGAAATAAATAAAATTGATAAACCCTTAGACATGCTAACAAAAAGAAGGAAAGAGAAAACTCAAATTACTAACATCTATGATGAAAAAGGA